CTAACTAACTAACTAACTAACTAACTAACTAACTAACTAACTAACTAACTAACTAACTAACTAACTAACTAACTAACTAACTACTAACTAACTACTAACTAACTAACTAACTAACTAACTAACTAACTAACTAACTAACTAACTAACTAACTAACTACTAACTAACTAACTAACTAACTAACTAACTAACTAACTAACTAACTAACTAACTAACTAACTAACTAACTAACTAACTAACTAACTAACTAACTAACTAACTAACTAACTAACTAACTAACTAACTAACTAACTAACTAACTAACTAACTAACTAACTAACTAACTACTAACTAACTAACTAACTAACTAACTAACTACTAACTAACTAACTAACTAACTAACTAACTAACTAACTAACTAACTAACTAACTAACTAACTAACTAACTAACTAACTAACTAACTAACTAACTAACTAACTAACTAACTAACTAACTAACTAACTAACTAACTAACTAACTAACTAACTAACTAACTAACTACTAACTAACTAACTAACTAACTAACTAACTAACTAACTAACTAACTAACTAACTAACTAACTAACTAACTAACTAACTAACTAACTAACTAACTAACTAACTAACTAACTAACTAACTAACTAACTAACTAACTAACTAACTAACTAACTAACTAACTAACTAACTAACTAACTAACTAACTAACTAACTAACTAACTAACTAACTAACTAACTAACTAACTAACTAACTAACTAACTAACTAACTAACTAACTAACTAACTAACTAACTAACTAACTAACTAACTAACTAACTAACTAACTAACTAACTAACTAACTAACTAACTAACTAACTAACTAACTAACTAACTAACTAACTAACTAACTAACTAACTAACTAACTAACTAACTAACTACTAACTAACTAACTAACTAACTAACTAACTAACTAACTAACTAACTAACTAACTACTAACTAACTAACTAACTAACTAACTAACTAACTAACTAACTAACTAACTAACTAACTAACTAACTAACTAACTAACTAACTAACTAACTAACTAACTAACTAACTAACTAACTAACTAACTAACTAACTAACTAACTAACTAACTAACTAACTAACTAACTACTAACTAACTAACTAACTAACTAACTACTAACTAACTAACTAACTAACTAACTAACTAACTAACTAACTAACTAACTAACTAACTAACTAACTAACTAACTAACTAACTACTAACTAACTAACTAACTAACTACTAACTAACTAACTAACTAACTAACTAACTAACTAACTAACTAACTAACTAACTAACTAACTAACTAACTAACTAACTAACTAACTAACTAACTAACTAACTACTACTAACTAACTAACTAACTACTAACTAACTAACTAACTAACTAACTAACTAACTAACTAACTAACTAACTAACTAACTAACTAACTAACTAACTAACTAACTAACTAACTAACTAACTAACTAACTAACTAACTAACTAACTAACTAACTAACTAACTACTAACTAACTAACTAACTAACTAACTAACTAACTAACTAACTAACTAACTAACTAACTAACTAACTAACTAACTAACTACTAACTACTAACTAACTAACTAACTAACTAACTAACTAACTAACTAACTAACTAACTAACTAACTAACTAACTAACTAACTAACTAACTAACTAACTAACTAACTAACTAACTAACTAACTAACTAACTAACTAACTAACTAACTAACTAACTAACTAACTAACTAACTAACTAACTAACTAACTAACTAACTAACTAACTAACTAACTAACTAACTAACTAACTAACTAACTAACTAACTAACTAACTAACTAACTAACTAACTAACTAACTAACTAACTAACTAACTACTAACTAACTAACTAACTAACTAACTAACTAACTAACTAACTAACTAACTAACTAACTAACTAACTAACTACTAACTAACTAACTAACTAACTAACTAACTAACTAACTAACTAACTAACTAACTAACTACTAACTAACTAACTAACTAACTAACTAACTAACTAACTAACTAACTAACTAACTAACTAACTAACTACTACTAACTAACTAACTAACTAACTAACTAACTAACTAACTAACTAACTAACTAACTAACTAACTAACTAACTAACTAACTAAACTAACTAACTAACTAACTAACGAACTAACTAACTAACTAACTAACAACTAACTAACTAACTACTAACTAACTAACTAACTACTAACTATAACTAACTACTACTAACTAACTAACTAACTAACTAACTAACTAACTAACTAACTAACTAACTAACTAACTAACTAACTAACTACTAACTAACTAACTAACTACTAACTAACTAACTAACTAAACTAACTAACTAACTAACTAACTACTAACTACTAACTAACTAACGAACTAACTAACTAACTAACTAACTAACTAACTAACTAACTAACTAACTAACTAACTAACTAACTAACTAACTAACTAACTAACGAACTAACTACTAACTAACTAACTAACTAACTAACTAACTAACTAACTAACTAACTAACTAACTAACTAACTAACTAACTAACTAACTAACTAACTAACTAACTAACTAACTAACTAACTAACTAACTAACTAACTAACTAACTAACTAACTAACTAACTAACTAACTAACTAACTAACTAACTAACTAACTAACTAACTAACTAACTAACTAACTAACTAACTAACTAACTAACTAACTAACTAACTAACTAACTAACTAACTAACTAACTAACTAACTAACTAACTAACTAACTAACTAACTAACTAACTAACTAACTAACTAACTAACTAACTAACTAACTAACTAACTAACTAACTACTAACTAACTAACTAACTAACTAACTAACTAACTAACTAACTAACTAACTAACTAACTAACTAACTAACTAACTAACTAACTAACTAACTAACTAACTAACTAACTAACTAACTAACTACTAACTAACTAACTAACTAACTAACTAACTAACTACTAACTAACTAACTAACTAACTAACTAACTAACTAACTACTAACTAACTAACTAACTAACTAACTAACTAACTACTAACTAACTAACTAACTAACTAAAATAACTGACTAAATAACTAACTAACCAACTAACTACCTAATTAATAGAAATGAATTACTTTATACATTTTAATTAATCCAACGGTAATTGTTATTAAGTTATCACGAAAATCATTAAGATTTGACCGTTTTCACTAATCAAAGATTCCCTGATAACCACCCCCAAAACTACCGGGCAATGGGTATGAGCTTTCCGTGTAGGTGCCTGACAACATAGCAACAACAAACATACTAAACTTAAAATTGTTGACTCTGATTGCTTTATTTGCTTCAAGCAATAAGTCATTAACAAAAAACAAATTTAAGATTAGCTTTTTCTGCCTCTCGCTCTCAAACACACAATTTAAACTCATTCGTTTGTTTGTAGTATTTGTGTAAATAGTCGTCATTCGTTGTTGTACTTTAATCCTTTACAATGTACACTTTACTTTAGTTATTACTTATGTATGTATGTCTGTATGTATGTACTACCAAGAGCCTAAAGCTGCTTAAGCATTTGTATGTCGAAGATAATAGAAAAAAAATATATATTCCAAATTTATGACAAAGTATTTGTAATATATCTATTTGTAGATAAATATTACAGCTATTACAAGTTAAGCGTAGTGGATGAAGGAGGGAGGGGGTGGAGTCTACACTTTTAGTAAGGTTGTGTAGTTATTTTATTAACGTTATAAATAATTAAAATTTGTTGTAAATAATACGAAATATTTAAAAGTTTTGTATTCAATACATATCAATCCCTGAACTCCTAAAAAGTTTTAAAAATTGGATCCTTAGATTATATGAGTCGGTTTATATTCTCTTTTTAAATCTGCACTATCTGTCTATTGACACGAATTGTTGTTCATTGAAATTAGTCCGAAATTTCACAAAAAATTTATGAATCGGGTCAGAATTTCGTTCTGAATCAACTAAGCTGTGTCCGTCTGAAGAAAAATTACATTTTTGCTCCCATGACAAAATCTATTAAAAATCGAACATTATGTGTGAATCAACTATGTGATGTATGGCCGATTTCGAGGGTTATATCAATATTAGATTACTAATGTCTTTGGGCCGATTTGAAATGTCTTAAACCTATTGAAAATCTGTCCTCAATTTAACATAGTTGACGTTCATATGACATTTCTAGCGACAGGGACAGGAAAAAAACTTTGATAAATTGGCAAAAAAAAATTGGCAAACTCGATTACCAAAAATTTATATATCCACCCAATATTGTATTATTTTCCAGACTTGGAAACAAAACCAAAATGATATAATTTAACTTAATGAAGGCAAATATCAACATTTGTCTTTCATTCATTTGCCATTGATTAAAATTAAATTAAAAACACAAGCAGCCAACAAATAAAAAAAAGCAAAAAACAAAAACGTAGTAGAAACTGAAAACACAACTCATTTCGACTCATTATTGTCAGAACGTGATTAATTATCGTAAACTAATTTTGAAGTGCAATTTCGTATAGAAAGAAGAAGAAACAAAACAACGAAAATCTCCAAAACTAAATCATCTAGCTTACAAAATTCCTCTTGTTAAAAAAAAACGAAGAACGAACAAATCAATATAAATGTTTATATACCCCATGCTGAGCCAAAAGCAAAAATTGTACAAAAGTTCCACTTTTTTTTGATATAGCAAAGATTTCCCCTACCTTTTAAAACCATTATGGATATAAACGAGTAAGAGCGTATGACTGTCTGACTGTATATATATATTTGAAAAATGATTTATGTTTTCTAAAAATCAATATGAGTATTAAAACATGAAGAAAAAAACTCTAACAAAAACTATCATTTAGTTTAATATGTATTTTCGTATTTAACTGAATATTTTTTTCTTATAACTTTTTTTCTCTCTTTGCAGTGTTGGGAAGAATGCAGTAAGGCGCCACCGGGTAAAATAAGTAAAACCATACGTGAGACGTGGTCTTTACACACTGTCTCAATGGTTCAACAAGATTCTTTAGTGCTGGTCGATGTTGCTTGGGAACAATTAAGCGTACCTTACCAGTGTCTGGTCACCTGGGAGGTATCGGGTGGCGGTTTAATGGGCAATTTATTGACAGAATCATTTAATGTTCAATTATCATTGTGGCCAGATACAAAGTATCGTGTTCAGGTGACTTGTAAAAATAAGGTGAGTAAAATGATTTTGTTTTAAATTTTTGTTACTAAATAATTGAATAGATATGAAAACACATTCAATAGACTGTACACCTACTAGTCCAGACCTACAGACTTCTCAATAAACTAGTCAATAGAGAAGTCAATAGACTAGTGCATAGAGTAGTCAATATACTAGTCATTAGAATAATCCATAGTGTAGTCAGTAGTGTAGCCCATAGAATAAACAATAGTCTATTTTATAGTCTTGTCAATAGACTAGTCCATAGAGTATTCAATATACTAGCCAACAGAGAAGTCCATAGACTAATCACTATATATTACTTTAAGAATTAGTCAATAGCCCAGTCCAAAGAAAATTAAATAAACTAACCAATGGACTAAGCCATTGATGAGTCTAAGACTAGTCCTTAGACTAGTAAATGTTTAGTTCAGACTGGTTGATATACTATTCAACAGATTAAACAACCAACTAGTCCATAGTCTTAACAATAAACTAGTTAATCACTAGTCCAAAGACTTGCAAATAATAAAGTCCATAGAATAGTCATTTGCCCACGGACTAATAAGAAGATTAATAGATTAATCAATAGTCTTGTATATAGACCTGTTACTAGACTATTCCACTGAGTAGTCAGTAGACTACAGAGAAGTCCATATATTAGTCCATATACTAATCAATAGTCTAGTTACTTCACTAGTTTATAAACTAGTCAACGGACTAGCTCAGCGAAAAGTAAATAAACTAATCAATGGACTAATACATAATCACTAGTCTATGGACTAGGCTATAAATTAGTCTATAGAATGATCCAAAGACTAGGTAATAATCGTGTTCACAGGATAGCCAATAATCCACGGATTAGTCAATAGATTAATGCAAAAACTAGTCAAGTACCTAGACCATTGTTTAGGAAATATAATTGTCAATAAAAATATAAAATAACTTAACCTTAAAATACAATAAATATTAAAGTTATTCCCAAAATGTTCCAAGCAAAAATCTAATTTCTTTCATATCTCTCCTACCACTACTTTCAGCTTACTGGTTTTATGTCACGTTCATTGCCCCTAACTATCGATACATCAGAGGCTGTTAAAGCTATAGACACAACAATACCACAACTAAGACCTACCATACGTAAACAAGCCATAGCATCGTACATCACCAACATACCCCTCTCAACAACAACAACAGCAATCACAAGACCAACTTTACCCACAATAACATATTCAGCAGCTAAACAAGCGCCAGTACAGCAATTCCCAGTAGATAATAGAGCTGCTGCCGTTGCCGCTGATGATGATGACATTGATACAAATGTAGTTCCTTATGATGATCAACAATCGGCTGAGACTATAAATCAACATACAAACTTTATCTTCAATTGGCATATGAAGAAGAATAGTGATATAAGTGCCATTGAACCGTTGCACAAGACGGAACACGATATACTAGCTGTGCTGGCCAATATCCATAAACCGCTATTGTTTGGCATGACAGCCGGCATTACATTGTTAATGTTGTTGCTCATGTTCTTTGCATGTCCTTTGAGAAAGCCCAGATTATCGAGTGATAAGGCCATGTTAATGGCTGAAGATTTAAATGCTCACGGTCTGACATTACCACCGGCCTTGACGGCGTCAAGATCGATAGGAGTGACAACAAGAAACGAAAGAATCGAACATGAATGTAAATCACCTGCCATGTGCTCAAGAGATACTTTGAGAGTGTAAGTTAACTACGTTTAAATAACTATTCGAAACGTTGGAAAAAAGGGGGTGTAAGGGCTTTAAAGTCCATTGTAAGGGAAATTATAAGAGGATAAAGTGCATAAGTCATTTGAAATAGAAAAAAACAAACACCAGCAAAACAAACTAACTAAAACTAAACAGAACAACTACAATATTACTAAAAACATAAAACAAAATGAATGAAATTATTTTTTAAATTTAAATTTAACAAAAGATTACAATTAAAACTTACATACATACAACAAAACAAACTAAATACATTAATTAAATCAAGCAAATCCATAAATAGTAATACATACATACAAACAACAACAATAAGCTAAATAAGTTTTAAGAGTAAACGAGTAAAAAAAGCATAAAAAAACATAAATATATACAAATAAATACTTATAAATATACAAACATAAATATAACAAATAATTAATATTTGCCTAAGGAATTTCATTAATTATTCATCAAACATCCCTTTCATTTGATTTAATTTTTTTTTTTTTGTTTTCTGCTGCTAATTTTCTGTTTATTTTTGTAATTTTCCCATTATTTTATAACATTAATGATAGTAATTCCATTTATTAATGATAAAAAGTAATTAAATTTTAATTAAATTATATGGTGTGTGTAAGAGGATTTCTTAGAATGAGTGCAAGGTAGTGTTAGTTAAAAGTTAAATAGACTTTTTTTCCTTCGAAAAAAGTCACTAAAATGTATGAGTGAGATGACAACTTTTAGTTGCTTATTTATAATTATAAGATTTATTTACTTTTTCATTTCCCTTCTTTGTTTCCTTTCCATATGAATTGTTTCATTTATTAATTAATGAAAATTATAATTGTGTGATGTGAGTAAGCTTTTTTTTTTATATTTTATAGATTTAATATGAATGATATAAAGAAAACTATGTAAATTTATTTAATTTTTTTTTAATAAAAATTATATATAATTAGTAACTAAAATATTCTATATTTTTTAAATTTGCTTAAATAATTAAAACGTCAACGTCTTCTAAAAAAAAGATTAAAAATAAAATATATTTAATGATATAATGACATAATTATAATATTTTTGAAAAAAGTAATAATTAATGCAGAGGAAAAAAAGACATAATTTTAAATTTAAAATAACAGATTGTTAAATTTTTTAATATTCTTTAAAAAGGTGTTGTTGTGAAGTATGTCTCCTATTTCATAATGTTTGCGAAATGTTAAACTTTTTCTTTAATGTTTTATTAGAAAATACTTTCGCTAGTGCATAAATTTGTTTATTTTAAAGCCGATATAAACAGAGAGTGACATATGAGATATTGCTTTCATATGAGTGTTTTTCAGTTTTAAAGCAGGCATCTACAGAGAAAGCTCTCAGACTGTTATAAGGTATAATGAGCCAATTTTTGTAGCAGAACTGGGGCTCTGGGATAAACCAAACATATTGCCCTACACGAGGATACAAAGTATCTTCCCTGTCAGGGATCACAACATCATGTTAAACAGACAATTTCTAATATAATTTCATCCGAAAAGTCACCTAATCTTTAACCTCAAAATGCTGGAGGAGGAGAATATACAGTGATATAAACAGTATCCATTTGAACCAAACTTTTAACGGCATTCATGGGTACATTCAAGTAAGCCAGCAGTAGTTGTGGCACAACTCGGGGTCCTCAGAGTATTCAAGACCCTCTCTCCATATATTCAGCTGCCTAGCTAACTCTGTCCAATGGATTTATAGGCTAACCTATCCCCAGTATATTCAATTTGCTAGTAAAAAGTCTTTTTGAGCAATAACCATTAATAGGGAGATGTCTTTGCTTATTTCTGTTCCAAAGAGACAATTTTTGATTAATAAAGAGCTCACATTTTTAGTTGGATTTGGTACATCTGATCACATACTATACACTGTTAAGAAGTAATTTTAATACCGATTTTATAAGTACGATTTGTGAAGTTCTTACACGGTTGTCAGATCTGGCAATTTGACGGTAATGTACTGACAATGATTAATATTTACAGAAAATTAATGTCGAAGTGCTTTACGTGAACACCTGCCGTGTTAGCCTATTTCAAGGTGGTCTTTTTCAATTGGGTGAGCTTTTGCAACGACTCACCACCGCCTCCATTGTGCTTCTTACACGCAGGTGGCAATTTACGTATATGGAATTTCTGGTCCAGTATACGTGTACATTGCTCAAGTAGTCGAGCTATCTAATCTCTTGCCATAGTAGTAACGTTGGGGAATGACAGGTGTCATGAGTCAAGCTCAATCTAACCCCGGCAAAGGAAAAGGCAATCACTGGTTAGAGTCGATAGAAGGGGCTGACCCAACATCAGGCGAAAACATCTAATTGATGCCATGAGGAATGTTGTTGTCCCCACAAACATTCTCATCATCTATGACTCATCCCAGTGCATTCCTTGACCTTATATATCGCCCAACCACACTACTGGGATGGCTCTGTTGATTTGCATCAGAGCATCAGAATGTATGAATTGAGTTTGAAGCTAAGTATTTAGCCCCAGATATCTATCCAACCTCTACACAGAGGGAAAAAGAAATATACACGCCTGGTATCAAATTGACACGAAACTGTTTATAATTTTTCAATAACATCAGTTGTCAAATTATATACATACGTACGACAACATTATGTAATGTTGACAACGTTACGTTGTCAATTCGTTGTCGAAATCTAAATTTTATACAAATCAGTTGTCTAAATGTTAAAAAACGTGGTAAGCTCACTATTGACTATTGTTTGGTAAGCTCACTATTGTCCGTTGTCAATAGTGAGCTTACCACTTTTGGTAAACATTTAGACAAGGGATGTGTATTTAGATTTCGACAACGAATTGTTGCAATGATGACAACGTTGCGTTGCTTTTCTCCATAATAAATTTAAAAAAGTATTCCCTCTGATTACAACAACTAGGGGACGTAATTGATAGTCCGAAACACGGATCTATATATAATTAGCCAGACTTATTTCAGTGGCCACAAAGACCAAAAACATGGTAACAGTTGCATAAAATTGGCACAATAAAAATTGTCAGACACTTATCGTACAGTGATCTGTCAATATCAAGTTAATGTGTTTACACGAGTGTCATATGTTATTGACTTACAATATACTGACAATGATTTTCTGACAATGCTGCAAAACAAAAATTACCAGTTCACTGTTGCCGGGCATTTTCAGAACATTTTTCTGACAAAATTGTAAGATTTGACAACTGGGTATACATAGTTTAGCTCATGCTCATAACCTTCTGATATAGGGATGTTAATCTCGCAAAGAAGTTTAGGTAATGCTTAGATTTGTGAAACCAGATTGAAACTTATATTTAAATGTAAATGTGTTTTTTTTTTTTTTTGATTAAAAATCTGGATTAAATTGCTAAGTGTTAGATTTTTTCTCGAATTAAATTTTGAATTTTAGTCGAAAAGTATGCAGACCTTAAGAAAGTTGTCTATTACTTTTTAATATATTTTCAGAGACAACAACAACACCCAAAACAAAAAGATTATTATATAATTTGCAAAAAATAAGTCTGTTTAAAACTAACAAAAACAAAATCAACAAAAAAAGTACCACAAAAGTACAATAACCCTGAATTATAATTTCCCAAAAATAACAAGTAAGAGTGTTATATTCGGCTATGCCGAATCTTATATACCCACCATCAAACCTCGTTTGACTCGAATGAAACTTACTTATGTCGAATTTCATCTATATACTCGTATATTTAGGCCAGTTATAAGCATTAAAGTAATTTTCTGAAGGGGACCATATATAAGGGGGTAGGGTCAATTATGGGTCGATCCTCATAAAATTTGGTAGATAGAATTTGGTTCGTATTAAATTTATTTGTGTCGAATTTCATCGCTACACTCGTATTTTTAAACCATTAATGAGCGTTGCAGTCATTTTCTGAAGGGGACCTTATATGGGGGGTAGGGTCAATCATGGACCGATCCTCATAAAATTTTTTAGATAGATTTTGACTCGTATGAAACTTACTTATGTCGAATTTCATCTATATACTAGTATTTTTAAGCCAGTAATGAGCGTTAAAGTCATTTTCTGAAGGGGACCTTATATGGGGGGTAGGGTCAGTTATGGACCGATCCTCATAAAATTTCGCATATTGATTTTTGATCATAAGAAACTTACTTATGTCGAATTTCATCGCTATATTCGTATTTTTAAACAAGTTATGGCTGTTAAAGCTGCTTTTCGAGGGGCTACTTGTATGGGGGCTATCCGAAAACGTGGACCGATATTGCCCATTTTCAATACCAAACAAACCTTACCTATAAGAAATATTTATGTGAAATTTCAACCCTCTAGCTCTTTCCATTCGGACTCTATCGTGCTTTCAACAGACAGACAGACAGACAGACGGACGGACGGACGGACAGACGGACAGACGGACAGACGGACAGACATGGCTAGATCGTCTTAGAATTTAATGAGGACCCAGAATATATATACTTTTGTGGGTCTATGACCAATATTTCTATGTGTTACAAACGGAATGACAAAATCAATATACCCCCCATCTTTTTTGATGGTGGGTATAAAAACCCTACCGCTTTCCGCCTCCCCCTAAATATTCCGACATAATAACGCACAAGCCACCATAACATAAAAAATTTCGTATAGATTTCCAGGACCAATATGTTTTAAAAGTTTATTTTTGTTACAAAAACAACAACAACAATGCTCTATTTTACAGGAAGAAAATAAAAACAACAATAACAACCACAATAAACAGATCCATTTACACACAATTTTTAGAAGAACTTAACAATTGAAACGTTTTAAAAGCAAACATAATCAAAATTATTATACAAAATTATAGGAAATTTTTTTACAAAAATTTATTTGAAAAAAAATCACACAAAACAATCTAAAAAAAATTGGCCTATATTAAATAAAAAAAGTAAATAAAAAAAAAATTAAAATTGTTTTATACAAAAATGTTTGGCATTACATGTTTAGGACTTAATAAAAAACCAAAA